TATGTTCAAAAAAAGATCCTTAAAAATTTAAATATTTGGTCTAGCGCGGGGCGGTGAGATGAGGGGGACAGCGGAAAGCGGAGGCGATTCGAAAATTGGCCGAAAGTTGCATACACTTTATGTATGTTCACTTCGAATTGGCACCTTTAATTAATAATATATTAGTTACTTTTTATAGTAATATATTATTATTAGATAAAAAGGTTTAAATTTTTGAGGATCTCTTTTTTTGAACATGTCTTGACCTTTTCATTTTTATGATATGATTTTTTTCGGATATCATTTACTTTTTAGAGTATAAATATATCACAAATATGGGGCATTCAATGCCAAGTGGGCCACCCAATTTTTGGGCTTTCTCGTCGCAGCGCTCTTTTCGCTTGTCGTTAGTGGGCATAAAAGGCAATTTTGAAAATGAAATATAGACGGTTTCTTATAGAAAATTGAACGCTCTTTCACGTAAGAATATTCTTTTTTCGATCAGACCGGTTTACGACGATGTTTTTCAGTTTTGAAATTTTCAAAATGGCGGTGCGCCTAAAAGGTCGATCTCAATTTTCTTTTAATATAGCTCAAAATGTAGCCCCAGGTCTCTACTTTGTTATTCTAAAAGGACTTAATGGGATACGCATTCGTTTGAGAGTAAGAGCTAGGAAAGTGAGGCAATGTCGCTCCGTCCCCCTGCCGCACCACTCATTTTCCTCACTTTCCTAGCTCTTACTCTCAAACGAATGCGTATCCCATTAAATCCTTTTAGAGTAACAAAGTAGAGACCTGGGGCTACATTTTGAGCTATATTAAAAGAAAATTAAGACCGGCCTTTTAGGCGCACCGCCATTTTGAAAACTTCAAAACTGAAAAACATCGTCGTAAACCGGTCTGATCGAAAAAAGAATATTCTTACGTGAAAGAGCGTTCAATTTTCTATAAGAAACCGTCTATATTTCATTTTCAAAATTGCTTTTCATGTCCATTAACGACAAGCGAAAAGAGCGCTGCGACGAGAAAGCCCAAAAATTGACTGCTCTACAGTTCGGCAACCAGTTGGCCATATATATTAAAAAATGATATAAAAATATTATATAACGAAAAAGAGTGAAAACGGCCGAAAGAGAGGGTGGTGGTGGTGGGTGGTGGGAGGAGGGGATGGAAGTGTGGTGCATCGAAGTTGGTGGAGGTGTGAGCGAAAGGTGAGAGAGAAGAGAAGTGTACATGACTGCGGACAAAGAAGCAGAAGGAGGAGGAGAAACTTCATTTCTCATGAAAATCATTTTTCAACCGCTCATATGTCCAAAACGGGTCAACCGATTTAAAATTTTTTTAGCTCAAATTACTCGTGGTGATGTCGCCTTTCAGGATATATTATGTGTGATTCAAAATTTTTTATATTTTAGTAATTACGCACCCCCGAAAAATGGACTTTGGTGACTCGGGATAAGAGATTTGTAATGTCTTTTAGTTTTTGAACATGACTGGAGATACTAACGCGTCTCCTGATACTTTAATAAAATAGTTATACTTTAAAAAATTAAAGAAAAAACATTTTGACTTATACTTACATAAGGTCATTACCAATGTTTTAGATTTTAAATAAAATGTTATACAATTGATATCGTAAAAAAATGGAGTAAAGTTCAATGCCAAAGCTAGTTTTCATGTTTGCCTTTTAAATATTAACAACTACTTGAATACCACACAAAGTAGTTTGTCATTAATATATTATGAAAGGCAAATTATTTCAATAGATAAGGATCATGATGCTCCGATCAAATATTGAGTTGTTTATATCCATTACAAAGGGTTGGTGATTTATCACAGTACATAATCGTAAGCTCGTAAGGAAATAACCATGACCTGATTCCATCATGATGGAAAATAAGTAATATTAAATTTTAAAGACCGTCGAAGTAACATACCTAAACGAATACGAAGCCTATAACAGTCTAGCTGGATCTTAATTGCTTACATATAATTTCGCGTGAATTTATATACTCATATCATAAGTATATGTAGTATTTCTAAACTGCGCGCCGAACATTGTCGGTTTTAAACGTAACCCTAATAAACTACCGCAATACTATCACAAATTAAATTGATTAACAATTTAATAATTGGTTGATGCTCTTTTGACATCTTATATCGATGTTAAAACTATATTAAAATCTGAAAATAATAATTATTATTGCGAAAAATATCACCTCGACCGGGTGTCAAATCCGGATCGCTTGCTTTAGACGCAAGGGTCCTAGCCAATTAGACTATCGTAATCTAATTCAGATTCGTTTTCAGATTTTAATATAGTTTAACATCAATATAAGATGCCAAAGAGCATCAATCAATTATTAAATTGTTAATCAATTTAATTCGTGATAATATTACCGTAGGTAGTTTATTAGAGATGCGTTTCAAGACCGACAATTGTTCGGCGCACAGTTTAGAAAGACTACATATATCAGTACATGTATAAATTCACGTGAAATTATATATAAGCAACACTAAAATCCAACTAGATTGTTATAGACTTCGTACTCGTATTAGGAAACATAATAGTTCATCACAATAAAAATTCGACAACTACAAATGAGAAATCCAATTATTAATGCCGCCTTGATATAAAACAAACACGAAAATTAAGCTTGATGATAAATTTTATTTCATCTATTTGCGATATTAATTGTATAACAATCTATTTAAAATCTGTAATATTGATAATGATCTTATGTATAGGTCGAAATATTTGTTTTTAAGATAAGTTTGTTTTTAATTATTTTATTAAAGTATAAAACTTATGGCTTGTAGTTTATTGTTTTAATTACTTAATTTATCATTTGAGTCGCTTACTTGTATTGTATTTTAAATAATGTTCTTTTTTCAGATTTATTACAATTAAAAATATTATATATCATACATTATATATTATATATAATTGAGTATATTTGAAATTATGAACAAATAATTTTCTAAAACAAATACAGCAGATAAAAGCTATTCGAATATGCATGAGGTCAATTTATCCATGCATATCGTAACTTCTTCGACAAAAACAATCGTCTTATCTATACAACACTGTACATCATTAATCGAAGTTCTTAAAAACTCGTCCTTAAAACAAACTGTATTCCGAATATTAGCCAAGTGATCAATGAACAAGGCTGGACATGTATTTAAAATACTTTTATTTAAAACACAATTTTTGCAATAAAAATATTATGAGTAACTAGTGGGGGCTAGTGTTTATAGCGCGGGACGGGCGCGAATACGCACTCGCTTCGCTCGTGCTTTCGCGCCCTTCGCGCCATAACACTAGCCCCCACGCGTTACACCAGAGAGAAACCTGAGAGCGGCCATGGCGGCCTTTTTCCTGTAATGCTTCTCACTAGCGGCACCAACGTACATTTTCGAGCTGCGGGAACTACGTACCACGAGAGCGAGCGAGACAGCGAGTCTCGTTGTCTCGCTCGCTCTCGTGGTACGTAGTTCCCGCAGCTCGAAAATGGACGTTGGTGGCGCTAGTGAGAAGCATTACAGGAAAAAGGCCGCCATGGCCGCTCTCAGATTTCTCTCTGGTTACACAATGTACTATTTCCTCACTCGTGCACGTAATGTGCCCTATACTGCAACGCTTTTGCGTGCGGTAAATAGCCAATACCTCAAGCCGTTGAGTTATTTCTCTAACCCCACGCAAAAGCGTTACATTATGAAAAATAACGCAACGCAGTGGTAGCTCTCGTACAAATATCAACATGGAGAAACACGCGCGACCGGAGCATCCTTTCGGAGCATCTGGGAGGGGGGG